AAGCCCCAGCACTTGACAAAACCTTGCAGAGATTTGGCTGTCCTCCTGGGCCTCCTTCACGACATCCTGGCCAGCATCCTTCGGGGCCACCTTCTGGACCCCCATCACAACGTCCTGCTGCACAGTCATGTTTAACTGAAACAGCCCTGCCGTTTGTTGGTCAGCTAACTGTGACACAAGCTCCTGAAACCAGTTCATCACCTCACGTCACCAGCACCATTGTGACACAGACACCTGCCGCTTCAGGCCCTGTAAGCAGTGACCAAGCATCTATCTCTACAACCATGGCCCGATGTCTTCAGGTCATAGAGACTGTTAAGAGTCTGGCAGTGCAGCCTTCTGTGAAGCCTGTGAAGTCGGTCCAGTTCAATTTACCTGCAGAGAATCCAGCAATGTCCGCTGCTCAGAACAAAGCAGAAACAGATGAGGATGTCATGGCAAAGCAGAAGGAGAAGGTACGGCCACCCTGTTGTTATAGCATAGCCTCCAACAGTATTTTGTTGTCTTAAAAAAGAAGATAGAAGAATTTATTATTATATTGTTATAAGTATTTTGTTGTCTTAAAAAAGAAGAATTTATTATTATATTGTTATAATATAAATTGACCTTAAATTAAACACAGTCGATCTTATACCCTGGCTTCTGTGTTTATACATTGGTTTTTCAGCTGGATTTGTACAACCAGAGGGATCAGCAGTACCAGGAGATCCTGCTCCGTAAAAAAGATTCCACTGTGGCTCCAGGTATTCCATTTTCTTCCTCATTGAATCTTTTAGGCAAACGTATTATTTTGAAGCCCTTAAGCGTAATATTTGGGTAATTCCAAAGTACAGTTTTACTCTTACAATTACAGCATGCTTTTTACAGAAGGGTCATTTTAGACAAACGATATGTAAATGTTTTTATTGTTTTCTTCTTTACCTGTAGCAGGTATTTTGGAGGTAACTTATATAGAATCTGTGTAGAAGAATTGTTACTTTGTTACAGAATATAGGTTTAATCAGCTAGATCTCATTTGCATACTTCTAGAGACCTTTCAATTGCTATAGTAGTACTGCTTTACCAGTAATCCATTCCTAGATTCCAGCATTTTTGTTTCCAAGAAAAAGACCACCGCTTCCGTTCGCCTAGCTGTGGTAGGATGTCGTGCGTAATCACAGCTGTAGCAGCAATTCGATGCAAAGTCTTTAGAGTTGTCCTGGCATCGTGGATCTTTTCCGGGTCATTCTTTAGCTTCCATGGCTCCCCCGTCTCTGCAGTTCCAGGGATCAAGAAAAGAAGACAGAGTAATTGTTTTCCCTCTACATGTAACATCTCTGGTATCTAGGGCTTAAGAAAACAATATTAATTAGGATATATAATAAAGGTGCCACTATTTTAATTAAATTAAGGTACTTTCTTTATGAGCTGTAGCCACAACATCATGCCAAGAACAGTCAGAAGAGACAAGTAAGGCCAAGAAATTGTTATTATCCATAATGCAGTCTGTCTAGGTTTTAACCTTTGTGTGCTACCGCATCACTGTTCCTTACAGAAACAATTGCTTTTTTCCCCAATGTGAATTTCACATTTTAAAGTAGTTTCGTTTTTGCAGGAAGTTAGGGAGCTCAGTGTATAGAGTGTAGAGTTTTGCGATGTTAAAGCAAGTGTAAACGTACTTCAATACAATTTCCATTTAAGTTTTGGAAAACTTAATGCTGCTTAAGAGATTTGTATCTACAAGTTAAGAGTCGGCTTCTCCCGTGACTACACTGTCGATTTATTTATGTGTACACGAAAACTTAAGAACATTCCCATTGGTCCTCCATGTTCTAGTTGAGCCGTTGAGGGTAAGTCACGTTCTCATTTTTTGTTGTTCTGCGAGAATGCTACACATTATCGAAGCTTAACAATAAGCTAACGGATCCGTTTAGACGTTATAACAAGTGTTGGCAATTGTTAGGTCTTAGCGTGTTCCCCTTTCAGTGTTTCTGTAGCTTTTATTGGGACCTAAACATCTGAATGTTTTGTAGTCTAACTATCTAACTTTATCAATCATACCAGAATGTTCTGCGGGTTCAAGTTTACCTAGTATGGTAAAATGAATAGGTCCCATTAGTCTCAGGAAGCCGACACGAGTTAATGCGCATTACTGTGCAGTATGAACGCAAACACGGAGCGAAACTAGTGTCGCTACGAATCCAGTAGAAATTGCCCGTTTGTGCCGTTTCGCGTTGTTTGCGTTGACAAGACCTTAGGTTTCCTTCTTCGTTCTTATTCTCCTGTGTCAGATCTATGCTAATGTCGTCTAACGTCAGGTGTGCAACGATAGCTCAGAAAGCTAGAGTACAGGTATTCTCAGATTTAGTATTTTCAGAGGCTACCCACTGCTAGTCTGTCTTCAACATGGCATGGCATTATTATCCCGTAATAACATGTTAAAAACGTAACACTAAATTAACCGTCGTTGTCAACTTCAGTCGTGTGTGTATTTCTTTGAATTTTTTTTTTTTTAAGTTTGTGTCAAAGTGTCAACTCCGCAAAATAGCAAAATTCAGATACTTGTGAAAATCTACTGGCTTATACAACCAGAACGGTGTAATCCATCATCACGACCAACTCCCATTTGATTGGCTCTTCGTCTATTTTTTACGCGAACCTATAACCGAAGCGCCAGTTGCAAAGTACTTGTTCATCTCTGTCGCCACATTGTGGTGGTGAAGGAGAGCTGCACGTGAAGGTGAATGGCCGGAAGTGAAGTTCTCGACTATGTAAAAAAAAAGGGTCCAGATTCCAGTTCTGTAACAGGTAAAGAGAAATCAAGTGACTACTTTAACTAGAATTTTACAGTTGCAACAGTAAACAGGGAAAGATGGAGATGTTTATTAAATAATTGAAATAACTAGATGCTTTTTGTGTTTGTTTAGATGCAAGAGTAATTACGAACTGGGTCGGTTTTCTGACATTACAAATAGATCGATACGATTTGAGGTTGTATTGTGATTAACGGTTAAAAATAAGAACTTTTCTACTATTATTTACTTTCCAATTGTGAATGTATGCGGATCATGTTTATTTTTTACATTCTAATTAATGTTTTCAGCGATTATTGGTTTGATTTATGTATGTTAAATGGATGTTGTTAATGTTACTTCTATTACTGAGCAGAGATATTAGAACTTTTCATTAACTAGTTTTATTTACATCATGTCGCAAATGTTAACATTAGTAAACTTTCGGCAGACCGACAATTGACACTAATTTTGAGAAACTGGCTGGTTTCATTATGGACAGACTTTAACATTTTGCACCTTCCTTTGTAAGTGTATTTTTTCTTATTTCTAGGAAAGTCAGCAAGCAGTGAACAGAAGAACATTTGGATCTGTGGTCATTCTCTGGTTTACTGGGCTGAATCAAGAGCAAAGTCTCCAGAGGTAGGTATGCAGCAGGGCATGGACCTAAACAAAGTCACCTTGTGGTGGAAGGGAATTCAGGGGATGGCATGGTCCCAGCTGCTGCCCCAACTCCACCAGCTGAAGAACACCTGGCCCAGCCCAGACGTACTGATCATTCACTTGGGTGGCAATGACCTTAGCACAGATAGTCCCACCAACCTGTTGGCCTCAGTCAAAAAGGATCTGACCGCCATAAGGAGCATTTTCCCTAAGTGTGTCCTGGTGTGGTCCAACATCCTTCCTCGGAGGGTGTGGCGTCATTCGGCTGACAACCATGAAGTTGATCTGGTCCGAACCACTGTGAATCGCAGAATCCATTGCATCATCTCAGAGCTCGGCGGTACCTCGCTTACCCATGATAATATTCGTTGTGGCACAAACACTGGTCTGTATGGGGCTGACGGTGTTCATCTGTCGCCTAAAGGCATTGACATCTTCAACCTCAATCTTCAAGATTTTCTGGAGAAGTGGCAGATGGATAAGGGGTCTGAGAGAAGTCATCATGGTATTTTTTAAGTTCTTTCTTTTTTGGTGATTGGGTAATGAAAGTAAGTGTTCATTATTTTGTAGTTATAGCTTCAATTTTTGTTGAACCGTACCTGAGAATTGTCTCTTTGAAGTTAAACAATAAATCTAGCATCCTCATTAAACCCGGGTCTCTGGGTCGTTACTAATGTTACTGTTGTCGAAACTTTTGACTGAATTTAAACTGGTTTATCAATGTTCTCCAAATGTATCTCACTTGTCAATAGCATGAAGCAGGGAATAAAGGTGAAGGAAGAAACTTTGAGATGGTCAACTGTACCTGAAGAACTTCAACTGCAGCTGTTTTGTTGTTGGCAATGAGTGGTCAAGCTTTACTGTTACTTTTGCTCATTTGTGTTGAACTTGATTATATTGAATGACTCTATGTACTGTAATTCTATGATGTATACATTTTCCCCAAGCATTCAATTGGAATTAACCATATTAATTAACTTATCAGATAAATACCGGGACTATACTGATTTGAAAAAGGCGCTCACGAAACAACTGCAAAAGAATGTTTTGATTCTTCAGACACATCAGCTGCCTGCCAACCAGGTGAGTCTCTTCTTTTCTCTGCAGTTTCTCTTCCAGAATTCAGGTGAACACTGATAAGTCTTGCATTGAAGACATAGCATCGGAAGAATTCAGGTGAACACTGATAAGTCTTCGGAATCCTTTGTTGTACAGTCTTCCTAACGACACACTACTTCCAGTAAACAACTGTATCTTCTTGGCACATTTTAGCCTTGTATAAAACCACAGAAACGATGTATATTCAATAAACAGTTATGATGGTATTCAATTCTTCAGCTGGGGGGATAATTCATCATAATAAAAATTCATATATATCTGTGCAACAAGCATATGCAATGAATGAATGTTGACAACAAAAAATAAAATAAAAAATATTTGATTCAAAAACAAAATGTGTATTCCAATATTATGGTTCCATGAGCAAATGTGATTTCTGATTTGTCCTGCCAGGATTTAAATGATCCCGTTGTTTGGGGTTTTTGTTCTAGAGTCTATCCAGATTTTCTCATCTTATTGGATTTATTTCAATTTTTGATTGTTGCGTTTCATGGGCCAGTCAAGTATAGGACAAAGCATGAAAGGTGCTGCGTATCGCCATCACATGTGTAAATGGCTGCAGTAGCGTAGTGTCCCTGTGGAGGGCAGCAGCAGCAGCCTAAGTCCTACCTTTCTATGTCAGACGAAGAAGTATCACTCCACCACAACACTACACAACACACACGTTCATTTTTAGGGTTCTTAGGAAAACAAGAGAACCAAATAAACGTCTATTTTTCTTTTTAAGAAAACATAAACCTACGCTTTCTGTAACGAACGCGATTCGCCGTGGGGAGCTGCTGGAGCTGGAGACATGTACCGTGGTCGGCCTCCACAAAGAGGAGGCTACCCGCTACAGTTTGAAGGCCGAGAAACGCGGCCTTACCCGCCGGGCAAGTACGGAGCTGACCGGAGCGGATCTAAACCTCCGTATCAGCATGAACGCTATGGTCACGTAGATTCTTACCGCCGCTCACCGCCGCACCGGAGGTACCCTTCCCCCAAGGCCGCTAGCCCTCTAAGGCACGAGTGGTCGGGTGGTCAGCGGAGAGAGGTGAGCGATTGTTTGGGCTTCATCAATCTATGTGTGATGCAGTGTTTACATTTGTAAACCAAATCTCATTAAAACCCAAACAATTTATCCAGTTTACTTGTCATACCAACGCAGTTGCAGATTAGGGGTTAGTTAAAAAATAAACGGTGACTGAAAATTCGACCTTAGAGTTTATTGTCAGAAGCTGTGTTATCAATTATTATGGCAGTGGTCGACGTATTTTCTAACGTTGTGTTTTGCTTTTTAATGAACTTTAAATCGTAGATTTGTATCGTAGACAAACTTAACATGTTAGGTTAAGTGTTATTTTGCCTTGAGACAAAACCTTAGCGGAACAAAGACGTTGACATACACAATTTTATAGTATCACTGTTACAGGAGTTGACACACAAACATAAAATAGAGAAATGTTTTCCCAGTTTTAGAAAATGTAACATATACTTTCTTTGAAGAATGAAATCTCGTAGATTAACCTGACCTTATTTTTGCTCAAACACAACAAAAAAAGAATCAATAAATAAACTTGAATCCACACTGGAGAAATTCTCGTGCCAATAAATAAACTTTTTTGAATCCACACTGGAGAAATTCTCGTGTTGACAGCAGATGTACTGCAACAAGCTGCCCCTTGGAGGCACCAAGTATGCAGACTTTTAGATAGAAATGTCTTCACATAAAACTATCCTGTTTTCTGACCAGGGGTCACCGTCAGCACGCCGACCTCTACCCCACGATCACAACCTGGTCATCACTGTTGGCAATGAGTTGAATGCCCAGCCTGGCTCTGCTCCCACATCTAGTCATGACAGGTACGTTTAGAAAATTAAAATCTGCAAAGGACCTTTTTTTTTGTCACCTTTGATAGTAAATGCAGGCGGTGAGTCACAGTGTCATGTTAACAATTTAGGAATTTGTATGTAAATCCTTAGATTTGTACATTTGACTGAACACTGTCCTATTTCTTCACAGAGGCTTCCCTGTTCGACCTGAGTGTGAGGGCAGCAGGGCTCGCAGTCCAGTCCACAGCCGTGCCAGGAGCCGTGGAAGAAGCAAGAGTAGACAGCGCAGCAGGAGCCATAGTCCAAACCGCAGCCGTGCAAAAAGTCGAGGAAGAAGCCGAAGTCAGCATCGTAGTCAGAGTCCACATCAAGACCGCAGCCGTGCTAAAAGTCGAGGGCGGAGCAAGAGTCGACATCGCAGCCGAAGTCGGACTGCAGACAGAGGCCAAAGCAGGAGCCGGGCGAGAAGTCACCGCGCCAGCATGTCTCGATCTAAATCCAGGTCGTGGTCCAGGTCCCGTTCCAGGTCCAGGTCCAGAGGAAGGAGCAAAGGCTTTAGCAGAGCAGGGAGCCGTGGCCGGAGTAAAAGCCGTCACAGGAGTAGGAGCTCCAGCAGCTCGAGCTCCAGCAGCGGCAGCGGCACGCACAAAAAATATTTCAAAGAGCTGGAGACAGCACGACGCAGAAAAGAGATGGAGGAAATGCTGAGTCAGCCGACAAAATCTATTCTAAAGAAACGCAACGACTCGGAGGATTCGCCATCGATTAAAGTACGATACTCACCATGAAATAAATGCATAACAAATGAACGGTGTTGATATTAGCCATAGCTGGTCCAAAAGAAGACTAGAACCTCTCAGCTGGATTCAGAAGCAGTTTAGTTTGTGCATAGGCTCATGAGGCTAAGGTCTCAGGTGAAAGTGAAGATATTTTCGAGAAAATGCTCATTGATGATATAATGTGAGGCAATGTGAGAAAAACATTTGTGCAAACACTTACTTTTGAAGCCATTAGAGCACGGCTTGTCTTCACTTGGGACTGCAGCATCAGAACTATTGACTCATTATACATGTGTAATGACAAGCGACTCTATTCTGTACAGAGTTCAGTCTGTCAGTCTATTTGATGCTCAAGTTTACAGATAGTTCCTTTAGGGTTTAGGCATGAACTTTTATAAATTCACTTTTGACTGTAGCTGTGTTCTAAGAACCAAGCAAAAAGGCTGAGATACAACTTCTCTCACGACCTCTCTGAACCTTTGCTTATTTATCTCTTCCAGAGCACGGACTCTCCTCGAACACTTGATAGCAGCAACATGTCCCGGCTAGCTGATCAGCTGATGCAGGCCATGAAAGGCATGGAGCCTCATATGATGGCGTCCGTGCTGTCAGAGCTACGGTCTGACCCTCAAATGGCTCAACGTCCCGGTTTTGATGCAGAGATCAAAGAAATCCTGAATCTGATGGGAGGAGCAGGGGCCAAGCCGCAAGTGAAGCCGGTGGATGACATCGACGACGAGGAGAAATTTCTCTATGGAGATTCTGAAGAGGCCAAACCTCAGCCGCTGTCTGAGCCGGCCGTACATCACGGCAGTCTGGATGTTTTTGGAACTGTTACCGAGGATAACCTGTATGGAGAATACCCGGCAGCACAGGCTCCCTACGAGCAGACATACAGCCACCCTCAGGGAGTCCTGACACATCACCAGGCCCCAGCTGCTTTGGCCGAGTCGGACGTCAGGTATGTGAGCCAGCCCTCCAGTGGCCTCAAGCAGAAAATTGTGGTCCAGGTGGCAAATTCAACTAGTGCTACTGACTCAGAGGGACAGATGGAGTATGACAAGATCCAGGAGCTGCTGAAGACTATTGGCCTTGACCTGGGTGTTACTGAGATTAGCAAGATAGCTGCCAGGACCAAGGAACGTCTCCATGGAAACAAACCTCCAAAGACACCCACACGTCGCCGGCAGTTCTCCTCTGATAGTTCTGAGGGCAGTGGAAACCGCAGGCGGCGGAGTAGGAGCAGCAGCTCGAGCAGCAGCAGCAGCAGCAGGAGTCGCAGCAGAGGGCGTAACAAGAAGGGGGGCAGTTGGAGCAGTGAAGATGGCCCCAAAAAGCTGTCTATAACCAGGTCCATCAAAGACACGAGTGAGACGAAGGCCGAGCAGCCAGCTGCCGTTCCACCAACGCTCAAGGACCAACAACAGACAACCTCTGACCCAATGGGCTACCCCCCTCACCCTGGGGTCACCGTACCTTCTTACCCCCCACCACAGACGCATGGGATAATGCCGCCCAACTACCCTCCTCCAGGTTATGGTCAGTACGGAACCTACATGCCTTACATGGCGCAGCAGCAGTGGCCACCTATGTATCCGCCCCACAACATGAGCCTGCCCCCAGCTACAGGCCCTGACATCCACCCCCCCACCCAACCCTACTACAGCCGTGGCCCTGAGTCAGGCATCAAAGGTCAGTACCAGTGACTTAAAAAATAATAAGAGACATTACAGCTCTGCAAATCTTGCAGGAATGTGACTTGCAACTAGGGGTTGATTTTTTTTGTGCTAGTAACGTGATGCCAAATGTGCTTGTTGAAATCCCATCTTATTCTTACTAGGGTTTTCTTCTCCAGGGTCAGTGAAGACGTCTGCTCAGACCAGTGAGAAGAACGAAGCCAAACTCAGCAGCCATGAACAGAAAGCTTCTGACGAGCAGAA